TGTGTGGACGCCAGTCGTACGTGGAATTCAGAAACAAGAAGTCGAGCATCCGTAGAGTTAAACAGGGAGTTCCCCAAGGTGGGGTGATATCTCCGGAACTGTTTAACCTCTACCTTTCTGAAATTCCACGCCCTCCAGACGGCATAGAGATTATTACGTACGCAGATGATTGTACGCTCGTGGCGTCCGGACCCATTATTGATGACATTTGCGATCGGTTGAACGCTTACCTTGTTGATCTTACCGCCTTTTTCACTGCGAGGAATATGAAGATATCCGCCACTAAGTCGACGGCCACACTTTTCACCACATGAACTGCGGAGATGGGGCTATCCTTGAATGTGCAGGTCGATGGTGCTCTTATTCCGACCACCAACTACCCCAAGGTATTAGGGGTCACATTCGATAGCCTCTTTAAGTCGTCCGCGCATACCACAGCTATCTGCGACAAGATTAGAAGTAGGAACAAGGTCCTCAAGTCTCTGGCCGGCAGTACTTGGGGAGCTGATAAGGAGACCTTGTTGACCTCTTACAACGCGATAGGCCGGTCTGTGGTAAACTATGCGGCTCCAGTGTGGTCCGCTAACGTCAGTGCTACGCAGTGGAAAAATGTTCAGTCCTGCCAGAATGCCGCCCTTAGAACCGCAACAGGGTGCCTTCTCATGACACCCGTCGATCACCTACATGAGGAGGCGTAGGTCTTACCGGTGCGACAGCATAACAAAATGCTGTCAATGCAATACCTGCTTGGGTGTTATAGACAAAGCCATCCAAATCACCATCTTGTGGATAGGCAACCTCCGCCCAGGCACGTTAGGAAAGACCTTCATGATCTAGAGAGAGAGGTACAGAGGTATAAGAGAGAGCCTCTAGATCAACAGGCCTATCAAGCGGGACTGAATAGTATTCACTCTAATGCGGTCTCAGAAGCCATTGAAGGATATAGAGTGAATACTGTGCTAGGAGACCATCCCCCTCCCGTCGCAGCTGAAGAACGAGAGCTGCCCCGACAAACCCGAGTAGTCTTGGCTCAATTACGATCCGGATGGTGCAGCCGCCTAAATTCCTACTGGGCCCGGATCAACGGCGAAGTGCAGAACATCTGCCCAGCATGTGGCACAGGCCCACATGACACGCTGCATTTATTTCGCTGCCCAGCCAAGCCTACTCACCTAACTCCAGTCTCGTTATGGACTCAACCCATACAGGTTGCATCCTTTTTGAGACTGGACTTAGAGGCAGAACCGGATTGAACTGAGTTAGAAAATGGAAACCAAACGAACACATATGTATGAGCTGCTACAACAACAACAACAACAACCGACAGAAAGTGAGATATTCATTTTTCTTGCTCTAAAAATAGCAAAAAGATAATTAGGTTATTTGACAACTGTCTACTGGGGGACCTAATGGTTCATTGTGTTCACAATTATAACCTGTAAGGAAAGATCAAAAGTTGGGCGGGGCCGACTATATGATACCCTACCCCACTATGCGTATTTATTATAAATCCCGTAACAAAAACATTTATATTGGGAATTTAAGTGAAGTAGATCATACTATGATCCAAAAAACCTTGCTATACAGTGCATGATATGACTTTGATAAGGATTATATAAAAATAATATTTATTGGAGCAATATATATAGCGGACCTAGATTCACCGAATGATAAAATTCGGTTGAATATTAAAAAATCTGTTCAATTTTGGCTGATATTACATATTTGGTGAGCAATAACAATAAAATCGGAAGAAGATATATATCGAGGCTATATAAAAATCTGACCGGATCTCGATAAAATTTGGTAGAGGTATTTTCGAATAGTATCATATTATGCATGTGAGGGAGTTTTATGCCAAATCGGATGAAACATATGAGCAATAGCTATATCTGAACCGATTTTCATCAAAATTTGAAGTAGTTGCTTCTATGCTGAATTCCGTCGGAAGTGCCAAAATTCAGTCCATTATGGCTGATTTTAGCAATTTGGTGCACAAAATACCTGAAACCGGATAAAGATATATATGGGAGCCAAATCTGAACCGATCTCGACAAAATGTTATTTCTTATTTCTTTGCTATATCTGATATTAAAGCTCTGGTACTAAAGATTATTGTTGTGGAGTGCATATTATGAATGTGAGGAACTTAAACATCAAATCGGATGGAACAAATATAGGGGAGTTATAGCTATATCTGAACCGATTTTCTCCAAATTTGATGTACTTGCTTCTAGACTGAATTCGATCGGATGTGCCAAAATTCAGGTCTCGATATTGGCCATTTAGTGCACAATTAACCCGAATTCGTATTAAGGATACATATGGGAGCTATATCCAAATCTTAGCCGATTTCGATAAATTTTGGCAAATGAGCTCTATAAGAGGGACTTAAAGAAAAAATCGGATGAAACATATATATATACATATATGGGAGCTATAACTATATTTCGCACGGATGTAGTTGTTAAGCACAAGGAAGCTACTAATGTTTGAGCTATCAGAAAATACTTCATCGCCCATTCTGCTTTCCTTCTGTGAACCTAAAATATATAGCTTTACTGTCTGGAGGCGGGTTGTTAAGGGTTCAGGCGTCCCTATCTATTACGCCGATTCCTAATGGCCAGAAAGTTCACCCATGGTTGTTGTTGACGCAGCAGTAGTACATGTGGATGACTGTATTCTGCAGATTTGCAGATTAGAGTTCAAGTTCCAGGTTAAAAAAAATCGTAACTAGAGATCTTCCGGAGTGATTTTGGTAGGTTTGGCGGTGCCTGTATCACTCCGGGCAGACATCACGCACATCTTCGTCAATTCGTGCCCAATACGAATAGAGACGACTGCACCATCCTGAACGTAATTGCACAAAAAATACCCTGGTTTGTCTAGGCAGCTGACGTTCTTCAGCTACAGTGGATGGGGAGTGGACTCCGAGGACGTCATTCATCCTGTAATTGCTAATAGCATCTGCGACTGCATCGGTATGAATGCCATTCAGACCTGCCTGGCAGGCTTCTTGATCTAAAAGTTCTCTCTTATAGCGTTAGACCTCCCTCTCTAGGTCATGTATGTCCTTCCTGACACGCGTGGATGGAAGAGTTGTATCCACCATATGATGGTTGGGATGACTCTCACGGTAACACCCAAGCAGGTACTGCAACGAAAGCAGATGATTATGCTGACGCAAAGGAAGGACTTTCGCCACCTCTGTTCTCAGGGCAGCATTCTGGCAGGTTTGGATGTGCTTCCACAGCGTAGCACTAGTATATGCAGACCACACTGAAGCCGCATTGCTCACCCCAGACACAGTGTGGCCGTTGATTTTGTGGCGGATATTTTCGTATTCCTCGCGTGGACAGATGCGGCAAGCTCCGCGAGATAGGGGTTCAAGTATTGACATATGTCATCAACCACTGGGCCCGACGCTATGATCATGCAATCATCCGCATACGTTACGATCTCTATGCCAATTCGAGGACGATGATTTCCGGAAAGGTGGAGGTAAAACAGTTCCAGAGATATCATCCCACCTTGGGGAACTTCCTGTTTCACTCTACGGACTTTGGACTCTTTCCACGTACGATTGGCGTCCACACATATAGTTGATTATCCAACGTTTTAAACCTTGCGAAGGGTAGTTCTCTACAGGTCCTCCAAATGCCTTTAATAGGTCAAGAACTACTAACACTGTTCTATCACACGGATCGTTCCTGTTTAATCCTCTACTAATATGTATGGAACGGTGTAACGGTCTAAGTGTAATACGCGAAAACACAGCTTTATACAGCCCGTATAAAGCTCTGCTAACATAGCAGAGGAGAGTGTCCAGCTCTCTCCCATTCAGTTCTTGCAGAAATTAAATGTAATATAGCCTTTCTTCCTCGGCTCCGCCACGTTTTTATACCATCTTAACTAACAGTCCACAATTGTGCCTCGGTATTTGGCTTCAGAGAACCGAACATGTGGAGTGCATATTTTTTCCTCTATAATTCTTTTCATAAACACAATGACTAATGATCACCGGTTGAAGTTAGTGTCAACAAAAAATCGGCTGCTAATTACTTCCTCTTTGCCTACATTCGTATATCCTCCTTCTCGTCGTTCAAGTGTTTAAACAACTATTCCACGCTTTTTTGATGCCCGGCTACATAAAATAAAGCTGCAGGTACTTAGTACTTAACTTCCCAGCAGGTGCAAACATCGTATTAAACGAGAGAGAGTTTTGAGGCCAAAAATTATAAATGACATTTATTTTAAACTTTTTTTCATAAAATCTATAAGAAAAACTCACCGAAGCAAATATTAAATCATAACATCTTAAATTTCTTTAATTTTTCAACATTTTCAATTACATTTCCAATATTTTTATTTGTTTAGCATTGAAATTTATTCAACATCGAGTTGGGCCTTTCTACCCTTTCATATTCACACAACAGGGCGCCGCAATACCGCAATTAGCACTGCGTTTTTATTTTATAACAACAACACAAAAGGAGAGAGGAGTACTATGGCATACAAAAACAACAATACACCAGGCGCACACACACGAACTCACACTCGCGCAAAAGACCAAACAAGAAAAAAACACAACAGCCGTGCAAAGCAAAACATACCACACACAACAGAGAATCAATGAATGAAGTAACACGAGAACCGAGTATAGAGAGTAAACGACGACGACAACGACTGTAACGAGAAGAAACACACAAAAAAAAACGTCAAACCAAAGAACTACAAAAAACACGAACTTTTTGCCTTTGCTCTGCTGCTGCTGTTGTTGTTCACACTAGACTACTCCTCCTCTCACACTGACAAAAGATTTAGGGTTTTCTTCGTTCATCTTTCTAGTTAATTAATTTGAAAAAAATTCAAATTACTTTTCAAGTATTTTTTCAATATTAACAAACCATTCAACTTCTCACTGGCTGTGGCACATTTTCTTTAATGATATTTTATAATTTTCTTTTATTATTCTGGCATATTTTCGTGTATTTTATTACCGTATTTCGTCGTTTTTTTGTGTTACACCTTCCAGATTATAGATTTTTTCCCATAATTGCTTGTTTTCTTTGATCCGTCGTCTATTAGAAAATGTGGATTTTCATTGGAAATTCACTGATTTTTATACGAAATTTCATATGCTTCGCAAGGCAAACATGTTGACGGAAATTTTCATTAGTTTTTCACGTTTTTCACTGGAGTTTTTCTATTAAAAAATTTGAAAATTCTTTGATGTCTATGTTTTAGAGGTCTGTGTGTGAAAAAAATTGTACAAAACTTTTGACTGCTGACACTGAACATACCCCAGCAACGATTTAACACCTCCCCCAATGAAAGGCTTATGAAGTTATCGCATGTTATCGATTTTGTGGATATATCGTTTTTCCATTGTGTGCAACGGAAACTAATCCAATTGAAATTTCGAAAATGGTAATTAGCGTTGTTTGTATGTGTTTTTTTAATGTGGCGTTTCCACTGCACTTGATTCGCTCTCTATTCGTTGTTTGACCCTTAACTATGAAAAAAATACCTAATTCTTCACACAAAATTTCCTGAGCGAACACTCATATTTGTACGTTGTTCAAATCAAATCACTCTCAGAACAACGAAAAAATATGTCCCATCCCTAACAAATGAGAGCATTTATCGAAAAAATAAATTATGACATTTAAAAATTAAAAATAGAAAAATTTGATGAAATTTTAAAAATTTTTGGGAAGACTGAAAATTATGAATGAAAACTACAATGTTGAATGGCGTATGTACATTCAAACGAAAGTAAATTTTGTTTTCTCTCTCATTCGAGGTACGCATTTTGTCCACGAGTTAAAATTTCCACAGAAAACGCAAACAAAAGAGGCAACATTTTCAAAATGTTTCTATCGGCAGAAAAAATGTTTGACAAGTGTCTCTCCAGCAGAATTTAAAAATGGAAAAACACAAAAATGTGTTCAAAATGTCAACATTTACACAAAAAGTTGAAATCGTGAATGAAAATTGTAAAATTAATGATATAATAAATCTTTGGGAGGAAAACAATAATTTCTTCTATTCATATTAGTGAGAATTTCATGTATTTTCGTATAAATTCCCATTAAAATCAACAAACAAAATTTTTGAAAAAAGGAATTATTTTACTATGAATTACGAATCGTGCCGTATGAACGGGTTAATTCGTGTACTTAATTCTGAGAGCGAACAACGTTGTTCGGTTTCCAATGGAAACATGCTATAAAGAGAATTAAAAGGTTTCAAATCAATACACATATGGTCCGTTCCAGAACTACAAAAATGTAAAATGTTTTACTACGATAACCAATTTTCCCTTTATGATATCGAAGAAAATTGTAAAAATAGTAGATTCTTGCAGATACTGGAACAGAGCAAAAGATTTTCTCTAATATTTTTTCTGTGCAATTCTGAACAAATGCAGAGTAAAGGGTGATTTTTTGGGGTTATTTGAAAGTAAAAGCACAAAGTGCAGAACAATGCATAAAACATTTATTTGAATTGATAGTATTTTCCATTTAATTTAATGTTTGAAGATTATTTCATAGAAATGTTGCACTTTTTTCCACCAATTTGGCATGTATCTCACGAATAAATGCTTCAATGTTGTCTTCTAATGCGTCAATTGGAACGGGCGCGACTGTATAGGCTTGAGCTTTAACATAACATCTTAAAAAGCAATCGAAGGGCGTTAAATTGCGGTCCCGAGCGTGAAATAATATGTTCACCGAACCCACCTCTGAATAAATCCAATTCTTCGCGAGCTGGGTGGTATTTGGCAACGTATTGTTAAAATCACATGTCATGCAAGTCAAGCTCTTGCATAGCGTTGTTTATTTGTAAGACGATTCATGACTAAATTGTAGACCAAACTACGATGTGCATTGCTACGATAACCGATTTTTCCTTTATGATATCAAAAAAAAAAATAGAATTTTGAAACTGGGAAATAATTTGACATTAATATGCCATGCAACGATGTTAAGCTTCTTATTTATTCCCAAGATTGGCTCTGTTCCAGAATCTACAAGAATCTACCAGTTTTATTTTTCCATATCACAGAGGAAATATTGGTTATCTTATTAATAATTTTTATATTCTAGCAGTTCTGGAACAGACAACACAACCAATGAGCAATCTAAAACGAAAAAGTACAAAGAAATACTCTCTTACCACTTCTAATGCACGAAAAATGATTCTGAGTGAAACAACTGCAACTAGTTTCGATTGTTCCCTTCACTGAATGGTTCAACTGTTGAATCTATTCAACTATCTGTCAAAGATTTTCCCGCTGAAATTAGATGATAGACCATCAAAAAGGAAAATCTATCTCGTCAATCCATGTTGTAATGTGAGACTTTCTTCTTGGTAAAACGTGTGTATGTTTGTGTAGGCCCCCCCAATCCGAGAGATCCGCAACACATTAGTATTCTGATAATAGTTTTTCATTGATTTATTGATATCGAAAGAATGATTCAAAAGCCGCCGCTACTCAAGTTGCGAAATCTCAAAGAGTTACAATGCAGTCAGAAACTAAAGGCCGAAGCGGAAACGCAACCGCCAGAGACGCCAGCAAAGCAAAAGAAACCTGTGAAGAAAAAAGTGAAACTTGAAGAACAGAACAATTCTACGCCGCCTGAGGGTTTACCCGATGTTGTTGTGCAGGCGCAGCAGCCACCTCCAACGACAGGAAAACGCACAAAATCAGCTCGAAAAGAGCCACCGCCCAATCAATTGCGCATAAATGCATTTTTCAAGACCTGCGAGAAAACCTATAGAATTGAGCCGCTAAAAGAAGAACCCACGCCATTTCGTAAGTCAACGACAGAAGTAAAGAAATTGGAAACCGATAAGAAAACAGCGCAGCGGGGAAATTTCCGTTCCAAACTAACGGGACGCAAACGACTGTTTGTAGATGATGAGGATGACGATGCACTTGACAAAAAACCCCAAAGTAAAAAATCATCACCCAATAGAAGAGCCAGGAAAACCAATACAATGCCAAATAATAACAGCGATTGTGTAAATTTAATATCTGATAGTGAGGTGGAGGAGGAAGAAGAAGACAAACAAGTGGATTCGAAAACGTCTTTAAATATTAAACCCGAACCAATCTCACCCATAGGCGCAAATCAAATTGTAAAACATGAATATAGTTCTGATAACAATTCCAAGTATAGTACCACAACATCTACATTGTCCAGACCCAAGGTTTTTGATTCAGGCACATCAGGTGTTAACAAACCAATTTCGAAAACCCCTTCAAGATCATCAAAAACCTCAAGTTCGAAAAAGACGCCACACTCCTCGCGGCGGAAACCCAAACCATGTCCACCCTACAAAATTGTTGAAGGCACTCGCTTTGCCGTGGATGCCTTTCAATATGGTTACATTGAGGGTGTTGATTACTATTTCCTAACACATTTTCATGCTGATCATTATATTGGACTGACAAGGAAATTTGCCAAACCCTTGTATATGAGCAGCATAACAGGTAGGTGAAACATGTCACAAATTTATAAAAATAATTTAAAGGAGTTATTTGTAGAAGGCTAAGATACCTATAATATGTACTTCATCCCAGAAGCTAGAAATGTTTTTGGAACAAGTACCCCTTGGGGCCTTGAGCACGTCGATGTTATTTATGCTTCGGCTGAGCCTAGCCTCCCCGATGATCTACTAAATTTGCCGTTTGGGCCTGGTTTATTTTCAGAGTATGGAACCAACTAAGACATTATATGGGTCTCAGTCTTTTTTAGGATGTTTTCAGACTGAATGGCGTGCTCCAAGTTTTTTGTAGTTTTCTGTTTATTAAAAGTTTTTATTTTCTTTCTATTTACAATCAAAGTCATTTTCACCATGTTTCTCTTTTCAGCACGTTTGGTACGCACATTTATACCCATCGAGGAAAAATATATCCATGAACTACCCCTCAATGAACCAGTTGAAATCGATGACATTCAAGTTACTGCCTTGGATGCCAATCATTGTCCCGGTGCTATTATGTTAATGTTTCAATCTAAAAAGCCCGAAAGATGCATACTTCACACGGGAGACTTTCGTGCTTACCATGGCATGGAAGAGGGTCACGTTTTTTGGAATAACACAATCGACACCATCTATTTGGATACCACATATCTGTCGGAAAAATACGCTTTTTGTACACAATACGAAAGTATCGATAGAGCTAAACACTTGATAGATGCATTTCGTCAAAAACATTCGGAAAAGAGAATTTTATATGTGTGCGGTTCATATGTTATTGGTAAAGAGAAATTTTGGTCATCATTGGCCGAAGAGTATGAATTGAAGGTGTGGACTGAGGAGAATCGTAGCAAAGCTTTAAGAGCTATCGATGAGGAGAAATACGGCGGCTTATTGGTGGAAAGTCCTAGACAGGCACAAATGCATGTTATATCAATGGGAAAAATATCATATTTGGTAAGTTTTGAAAATGTATTTGTAATTGTTTTTTTTTTATTTATTTTTTGTCATAGAGTTAAGAGGTTTAAAATAGGACAAGAGGGTTCTGAGCTAGAAATCTTTTTTTTTTTTGCTGTGATGGGTGCTCCTCTTTGCAGGCCTCTTGATGGTCAAGGATCGTACCATGGTATCTAGCTTTCAAGTAGAGTTAATTATTTAAAATTATTTATTTGAAGTATTTACAGATCGAAATTCGTTGATGTTTTAGAAATGTCTTTGAAAGGACTCCGTGGTTTTTCAAAGTATAGTCATAGACAGTCATTCTAACGTGGAATGTTAAAGAATATTTTTCAATAATCATGGACTTGTTAAAGAATTCTTTTTCAAGGACCAGCCAAAAACCAAGTTTTTTAAAGAATATTTTTGCAAGGACCAATTGACCATCAAACGTGGATTTTTTGAAAGAATATTTTCAAGGATCAAGAGCTCAAAAATCATAGACTTTTTAAAGAGTATTTTTCACGGATCAACCGGCCATTAAACGTGGACTTTTAAAGGAATCTTGTTCAAAGACCGTCAGTTAAAGAAATATAGATTTTTTAGAGAATATTTTTCAAGGATCAACCGACCATTAAACATGGACTTTCAAAAGAATATTTTCAGTATTCATGGACTTTTTAAAGAATTTTTTCAAGGACCCACAGCTCAATTATTATAGACTTTTTAAAGAATATTTTCATGGGCCAGCAACTCTGTAATCATGGACCTTTTAAAGAATATTTTAAATAGCTCAAAAATCATAGACTTTTTAAAGAATATTTTTTTAAGGATCAACCGACAACCAAGTTTTTTAAAGAATATTTTGCAACGACCAATTCATCACCATCAAACGTGGATTTTATGAAAGAATATTTTTCAAGGATAAAAAGACCATCAAACGTGGATTTTTTAAAGTATATTTTCAAGGAGCAACAGCTCAAAAATCAGAATATTTTTCAAGAATCAACCGACCATTAAACGTGGACTTTTAAAAGAATATTATCAAGGAGCAACAGCTCAAAAATCAGAATATTTTTCAAGAATCAACCGACCATTAAACGTGGACTTTTAAAAGAATATTTTCAAGGAGCAACAGCTCAAAAATCAGAATATTTTTCAAGAATCAACCGACCATTAAACGTGGACTTTTAAAAGAATATTTTCAAGGAGCAACAGCTCAAAAATTAGAATATTTTTCAAGAATCAACCGAACATTAAAGTGGACTTTTAAAAGAATATCTTTCAAGTATCAACCGTCCATTAAACGTGGACTTTTAGAAGAATATTATCCAAGGACCATCAGTTAAAAAAACATGGATTTTTTAGAGAATATTTTCAAGGACCACCGGTTAAACAAACTTTTATTTTTTAAAGAATATTTTTCAAGGAGTACCTGTTAAACGAACATGGTTTTTTGAACAAGTATTTTTCAAGGATAAAAACATCATAAAACTTGGGGCTTTTGAAAAATATTTTTTAAGGATAAAAATAAAGAATATTTTTCAAGGCCCTCCAGTTAAACAAACGTGAATTTGAAAAAAAATATGTTGAGGATATAAAAATATTATTTTAAGGATTCTTTAAGAATTTTATTTAAAAGATATTCATATTTTAAAAATATTAAATTTATTGAAACCCCAACTAATTATACTCTTTTTTATTTGCAGAGCTTGGTGGAGTATTTCTCCTTCTATGAACAGGACTATGACATACTGCTGGCCATACGACCCAGTGGCTGGGAAAAGGATACCCGGCCGCAATATCGTGGAAAAATCAATATAATTGGCATTGAATATTCCGAACATTCCAGTTATAAAGAATTGAAAAGATTTGTACGATTTTTAAAACCCCAAAAAGTCATCAGCACTGTACCTGTGGGACGGGATCTAATGGTTACGGCAAATGTACCTGAAAATTGGTATAAATATGAAAAATTACAAATCTCAACAAATTATCAACCGCGCATCGATCAGTATTGTGGTCGTGCTACGCCACAACGGAAGCAAATACTTTTACGCAAAGCAAAAATGAATAGCGAAGATTTGGAGAAATTTGTATCGCCGCTAAAGCAAAGGAGCAAGGAAATAAATAATAATAACAAAATTGATAAAGATGATGATGATGTTGACAATGAAGATGAGCCAGAAATCAATTATGTTCCATCGGAAAGTGCGTCGGCCTATGAGTTTGATCCGCCGCTGAAATTGAAAAAGTCCGAAAAGACCGGAAAAATAAAGAAGGAAAAAGTGTCACCCAAAAAAGAGGTGAAGGTCAAAGCTAATGGTGCTGGTGGTAGTCCCTGTAAAAAGGCAATAAAAAAATCACAAAAGAAAATGGCCAACGAAACCAGTAATGATGTTGTCTTGAGCCAAACATTAAAGGAAGGCGAAAGTTGTAGCCTTTTTATTACAAATTCTTCAGATTATTTTGAAACTACCAAACCGGTTGTTAAAACCAGGGGTAACAGACGTCGGATTTCCAGCAGCTCTAGTGAAGAATTTGAAGTATCTCAAAAACGACAGCCTCGTGTCAATGGGAAATCAAAAACTTTACAAACCATTGATGAAGAGCCCAGTAAAAGTATCAAGATTGGAGATCAAGATAAAAAGAAAGCAGAAAACGTCATTGAATTTTGGTTGGATGGTCCTTCAACAAGTAAGGAGGCCGCAAAATGGAATAATCCTCTACTAAAATCGTCTACAACTTCAACATCATCACATGAAGACACAACCAGTACCTTAAGATTTCCCCGCGAAAAGCCTGCCAGAAATGAGGAAATACCAGCCTCCCAAAACACACTAGATTTAGAAAACACTCACCGGCCACTGAGGGATAAATTTAAATATTTGAGTCTACCAGATATTGTTCCTGCCTCACAGACATCCAAAGATTTGGAGAGTACACCACGGCCCCTGCGCAACAAAGTGGCATGGCGTGAATTTGCAAAAACTGACAATGAAATAATACCTGCCTCGCAGACAACAGCCGATTTGGCAAATACACCCCGGCCCATACGCAACAAAAGGAAGAACTCTAAGGCCTCGGGGCAAAATTCATCTGATTCTTGTTCTAGTCCGCCGAAACGAATTTTGAATTCTAGTCCAGAGAACGATGTTGATTACAATTTCGAAGAAAAAAATCATCATCGACCACCCAGCAGTCCGGCACCAGCACAACTCAATGCATCCCAAATTTTAACAAAAATCCCCAATAAAGAAGAAGAAGAAGCAGAAGACATAGATATCTACAATACCTCACAACTGATAAGTAAAGTTGTGGCATTAGCCGATAAAAAGGTCGACACCAGTGTAGATCATATTCCACCTGAATTGTTATCCGATCCGGATGCCGACGATGATTGGATGGAATGATAGATGGGCATGCAAAATTAATTATTTTCTTTCTTTTGTAAGGTTATAGGTAATAGATTTACCAATTTTTTTATTATTAATTATTATTCTTTTTTAAATCATCAATTTTATTTTGTTTAAAATAATACAACCAGTTATTAGTTATTGTTAAGTAATGGAATTTAATGTTGGTAAGAAAATAAAAATATGCAATTTTTTGTACTGTGAAGAAATTTGTTTGGCTACATAATCATGCAATTGAAAAGGGCGGGAAGAAAGGAACGACGAGGGAGCTTCCTCGAGGTTTTATGCAGACGCCAACAGGATTTTGCAATAAGTCGACCTATGGATTTTTAAAGAATATTTTCCAAAGACTAACAGCTTATCAAACGTGGATTTTTTAAAGAATATTTTTCAAGGACCAAATGACCATCAAACGTGGATTTTTTAAGGAATATTTTTCAAGGACCAAATGACCATAAAACGTGGATTTTTTAAAGAATATTTTTCAAGGACCAAATGACCATAAAACGTGGATTTTTTAAAGAATATTTTTCAAGGACCAATAAACGTAGATTTTTTAAAGAATATTTTTCAAGAATATTACCATCAAAGAATAAAGAATATTACCATCAAACGTGGATTTTTAAAGAATATTTTTCAAGGACCAAATGACCATCAAACGAGGATTTTTAAAGTTTTTTCAAGGACATCAAATGTGGAATATTTTTAAAGACATCAAACATGGATTTTTTAAAAAATATTTTTCAAGGGCGGTCATTTGTCCATTTGTCCAAATGTGGGTTTTAAAAAAAAATTCAAGGACATCAAATGTGGAATGGTTTAAAAATATTTTTAATGGCATCAAACGTGGATTTTAAAAAAAAAATTCAAGGACATCAAATGTGGTATGTTTTAAAAATATTTTTAATGGCATCAAATGTGGATTTTTAAAAAAAATTTCAAGGACATCAAATGTGGAATGTTTTAAAAATATTTTAATGGCATCAAACGTGGATTTTTTAAAGAATATTTTTCAAGGAGCAACAGCTGATCAAACATGGATTTTTAAAGAAACCAAATTCAATGTTTTTGAAGAAAATATGAAAAAAATGAATACTCAATTATTAAAAAGTAGTTAAAAAGTTTTTATTGCAAATATTTTTTAAGAATTCTTCTTAATCTTCTTATATAATAATTATTTGTTTAATCTACATTTTTAAAAACACTTTTGTTTGCCTCCACAAATGCGCCATCTGTCAAATATACCACAAGCAATTATATATGCTTTCAACAGACAAAAATTCACGATTTTTTGAACTGTTATTTATCTCACAATTGCGCCATCTGTGAAATATAACACAAACTTCTGTGTTTGCTTTTAACAGAAAAGTGTGAAAAGTCAAAAAAAAAACTATTTTCTGTTTCCTTTATTTCTCCCCATAATGGAGCAATATGAGCCGGAGAACCGTTATGGGAGAGCAATACACCACCGTCGACACCAACACATTACGAACGCCGTTCACATATCTTGCCATTCGACGGCGTTACGAATTGCCAGAGAAAATTGTGCAATTGAGAGAGAACGAAGAGAAAATCAACAATGCCCCCTACGCGGCATTGCCAACTCTCCGTCTGGTGGTATCAATGCGTTGCCATTGTAATTTATGTCAGTGGTAAACATAAACATCTGCATATTTTTTACAGTTTAACTTTAACTTTGGTCGTGAGAACAACGTTGTACGGTTTTAAAGGTAATGGGAGAGTTCGTGCGTTTACGCGTTATTACCGAACCGACTGCTGTGGGGCATACAATTTATTTGTTGTGTTTTGTTTTAGTTTTTTTTGTTCATCTCTGCCAACTTTACAAATAAATGGAAAAATAGAATAAAACAACTATTTCGTTTAATGGCCTAGGCTAAGTGTGAATGAGAAAAAGTGTGGAAAATATGTGAAAAAAATTATTAACTAAAAAAAATAAAGTGTAAAAATCAAATAAATTGTGTTTTAAGAAAATCATCTGAGATTTGTCAGAAAACCCAAAAAAATAAAGCGAAAAATATTTTTCTTTGGCGAAAATTTTTGTTTCAAATTTTTTTTGTGGAAAATAATTTAAAGACGAAGAAAATTTTGGAGAGAAGTTGTTGCTTGCATTGGAGCCTGGGGGCCTGTTTATGTGTTATGTGGCGGCGGTGGTGGTATTATTATTACCGTTGCCTGGTTTCATGTTATTGCCTTAAGTTTATGTTGACTTTTTTGGCCTTTTCATAGTTAGTAGCAGCCGCAGAAGCAGCAGCAGAAGTTGTAGAGCGGCAAGGTAACAAAAAGTCAGTCCATCAGCCAGCCAGCCAGCCAGCGAAATAACCAGTCAGTCAGTTATTCATTTGTTTGGTTGTGTGTTTTTGTGGTGTTGCGTTGTGCGTTTTTTACTCATTCAGTTTTGGCCATCAACCACAGCGCATAGCTCAGACCAATGGCCATTTGATTTGTTTTTACCCTCTTTTGGTCTGGTCTGGTTGTCTGCTGGTGTTTGATTTTTTAATTTAGTTTCGAGTCTGGCTGCCTTGTTTTTCTTCTGGCCATTTGTTTTGGTTATGTTGCCTACCACACGTTTCTACTGCACATCGGCCCGGCCAGTTGTTGGCCTTTCTAAGCTGTTTACCAATCTAGTCGGCTAGATTGTCTAACTTCTTTAAAAGAAAGATCGTAGAAGAGGCAGAGCCAGAAAAAAAAGAAGTAGAAGTAGAAAAACCAAACGGGAACGGGCGACACCAATTGCTAGATTTGTACTTTGTTGCAACTTGTCCAAGTTTTCTGTGAATTTTTATGACCATTTCAAAACAAACCAACAATTACAAATGTAATTGTTTGCTCCCTGCCTCTCTCTGTGTTTCTCACACCACCTGTAATAACACCTATTCAACTCAGTCGACCGTTACTTCTCTCCCTGTACTCTCTCTCTCACACACAGAGTAGAATAAGAACCTTACCTCTATTAGTAATTCATTCCAATGATTCTCATGGCAATATTAAATAAAAAAATTAACATACAATAATAATTATCAAATTCCTATCTCTGCTCACCCCTTGATTTTTTCTCTCTCTCTCTCCCCCAATCGTCTCATTGAAAAGGTAAAGGTAAATTGTTATTGATATCATCAAAACAACAACCAAGTGAGTGATTGAAAGAAAAATCAAATCAATTGAAAAACCCTTCACAAAAAAGAAAAATATCATTGAATTTTCATTCATAATCAATAAAAATCAAAAAAAAGTGTCTGTGTGTTTTCCGAAAAAAAAAGAAATGAAAAAAATATAAATTTCTTTATAAACCACCAAATTCAATCAGTGTTTTAATAATTCAACAAATCTCCATCAACAACCGCAATCAACAATCCATGGTTATCAACGAAACCACCAACAGGTTTTACATCTTGACATTAAAAAAGGTAAGTTGTCCTTTGAGGGACGGTTTTTTTATTACCGAAATTAACATAAAAAAATTATGATTTTCTGGCAAGGAAAAAGGAAATAGATTTTTTATGGCCCCTTTTTGAAAAGAGTGATGGCAATTTAGAGGATTTTTTTCAGATAATAAGAAAAAAAAAACGCAAGAATTACCAAAGACAGAAAATATAGAATAGTAAAAGGAAATATAATTTTATGTTTTTTATGGGTCTTTGAAAAAAGTGTTGTCAACTTAGATGCTTTTTTTTCAACCACAAAATAATATAAATGACATAAATAGATTTTTTATATCTCTTTTTTTAAAAGAATAATGTCAATTTAGAGGATTTTTTGCAGCCAAAAAGAAAAAAACACAAAAATTACCATAAACAGAAAAAATAGAAGGGTAAAAGGAAATAGATTTTTAAGGCTACTCTTTTGAAAAGAGTAATGCTAATTTAGAGTTTTTTTTTTTTTCAACTACACAGCCAAACAATTGACTTAAACATTTGAAATTTGTCAGGAGATGGCCAGAAATAAACAAAGAAAAGGGAAACAGATTTTTATGGCTCCTCTTTTGAAAAAAGTGTTGTCAACTTAGAGGATTTTTCAACCACAAAACAATAGAAATGGCATAAACATTTGTTACTTGTCGTGAGGAAAAAATAAAAAACCCGAGAAAATGAAAAAGTGTTAATAGCTCATTCTTGAAAATAGTGATGTCAACTTAGAGGTTTTTTTTCCAACGACACAGCCAAAGAATTGACATAAACCTTTGAAATTTGTCAGGAGATGGAAATAGGAGGAGGAAATAGGCAAAGAAAAGGGAAACAGATTTTTATGGCTCCTCTTTGAAAAAAAGTGTAGTTAACTTCGAGAATTTTTTTCAACCACAAAACAATAGAAATGACATAAACATTTGTAATTTGTCGTGAGGAAAACAATAAAAAAAACAAGAAAATGAAAAAGTGTTTATAACTCATTCTTGAAAAGAGTGATGTCAACTTAGAGGTTTTTTTTCCAACGACACTGCCAAAGAATTGACATAAACAGTTGAAGTTTGTCAGGAGGAGGTCAGAAATAGGCAAGGAAAAAGGAAATAGATTTTTATGGAACTTTTTGAAAAAAGTGTTGTCAACTTAGTGGATTTTTTTTTCAACCACAAAATAATAGAAATGGCATAAACATTTGTTATTTGTTGTAAGGAAAACAATAAAAAAACCAAGAAAATTAACAAGTGTTTATAATTAATTCTTGAAAAGAGTGATGTCAACGTAGAGTTTTTTTCAACGACAAAGCAAAACAAAAAATGTCGCAAAAGTTTACAATATTTCAAAAAGAAACAAATGAATTATCAGAGAAAAAATAAATAGTTTTTAGTCTCTTTTTGAAAAAAGTAATGCTAACTTAGTGTTTTTTCGATATTAAAAACACAAGAATTACAATAAATATTTGTATTTTGTTACAAAAAGTGAGCAATAAAAAAATGTTTGCAAAGAGTGATGCTAACTTAGAGGATTTTTTAAAAATGAAAATCACAATAAAAACCTAATAAATTTGCTTTTTTGTCATAAGGGAGAGGAGAAAGAACAAAGACAAAGTATTTTTATGGTTCCCAATTGAAAAGAGTAACAATAAAAAACACTATAATTAACGTAAAAGAGGGAAAAGATTTTTTGTTTCTTTTCTTTTTGCAATAAGGAAAATACAGAATTTATTGTTAAGAATTAGATTGTTTTTTTTTCTTTTTTAAAACAGTGATTCTAACTTCGAGAATTTTTCGTAAAAAAAACACATTTTGTCACAAGAAAGATTAGCAAAGAAAAGGGAAATAAATACATACACCTCCTTTAGAGGGATGTCAACTCAGCGCTTTTTTTCGATATCAAAAACCACAATAATTACAATAAAAATTTGAAATTTGTGACAATTAACAAAAAAAAAAGGAATTAATTAATTCTTCTTGGAAAACTGTTATTTTAAATTTGTTATTTATTCTTTTGTACTTTAGTGCGGGAGAGGAATCTATTCGGCGATAAGAAATTAGAGTTTCCATATCTCTTTGGGAAAAGAGTGATGCCAATTTTATGATTTTTTTAATAAAAAAAAAATTGAACTCAAGTTTAAAAAAATGAATTTTGTTAAATCAATGATGTCAACTCATACAGAAAATTCCGACACTGTCACTTTAAAAACAAGATTAGCAAATCTATCATGTCTCTGGCAGTATAAATTTAAAAATACCAAAGGAGAGATCATCCACTCTGTTCTCGCCAAATTTTTATATTAATTTCAATACAATTTATTTTTTTTCTTGATTTAAAATTTCGGCGATTTTTTTTTCTAAAGTTGTCAACACTTTTTTTCAACAAAAACATTTTTTCTTGGCCACTCTCTTCCTTGTAACGGGGAACTGCTTTCTATCACCCTCTCACTGGTTAGCAGTGGATGGGTATACAGAAAAATAAAAATATAAAAATAATTCGCGACTTTTAAGAGAGCTCAGCAACCCTGTTCTCGACAATACTCCTTTTTAAAACAATTTTTTTTTTCGATTTATTTATAACAAATATTTGACCTAATTTTAAATTCAATTTGAAACTTTCATTGATTTTTCTTAAATGTAACCATTGGCAACATTGTCATCCTTTAAGAAAAATAGTTTATGTCTACTGAATCTCTCCATTTAGCCTAATGGTTATTACCTGTTTGATTGTTTTTTTGCTCTTTATTGGCATCTCAATGACGATTTTTGAAGAAGGTTAGCAACACTGTTCTCGGCATATATCCATATCAAAGCAATCTATTTCAATTTTGTAATAAATGCTCCTATAATTTTGTTTCGATTTAAAATTTTTAACGGTTTTTTAGAGATGAATTTTGACAATACTTTCTGTTTCATAAAAACCTTTTTTATCCCTCTCTCCCTGGTTATTTTTTTATTGTCCCTTAATTTGTAAATTTATGGCGATTTTTAAAAAATACCTTTCTTAGATACCATTACTTTTTCAAATAATTTTATTTTAATTTCACATTTCCAGTGATTTCCATTTCTTAAATACAACCGTTGACAACACTGTCCCCCTAATGAAAAAACCTTTTTTCTCCCTACTCACTCTCTTCCTGTTAATCAAACGGCATTTCCTGTTTGCTTGTTTTTGTTGGCGCTGCTGCTGCTGTTTATTGTCATCTCACAGGTTAACAGTTGATGTACACGACAGCCATTCGGTGTGTCTCCTTCCTTCCCTCTGCCTTGTCATAATTTTCTTACAATTATTTAGATTTAATAAAGTTGTAGTTGTGTGTGTTTTGTTGTGATTGTCCCTTCTCCTTTTTTTCTTACCTTTTCTGTGGGACCTATGTTGTTGTTGTTAGTGTTGTCTTACAAATTACAAAGAAATCCAAAAATAAAAACTAAAACAATACAAAAAAACATGAATGATGTTTGTGTGTAGTTCTCTCTTGCTCTCTCTCTCTTCTCTCCTTACGGTATCCCTAATTAAAATCGAATGTTTTTGTTGCCTCAGTGCAAAGGTATTTTTCACCTTGTGTTATTGTTTTTGTTATTGCGAGTTGGTTATTTTCGTGTTACCCCCACTCTCTCGAGGAATTTGTTATGTTACAAAGGTGCTCATCCTCCCCATATATATAGAGAATCCGTCATTCGTCGTTTTGATGACTATTCCAAACACAAATAGGCACCTACATTGAAAATAAATCACAATCAGCATCTGAACAACAGGTATTTTTAGAAATTGAAATAATCTGTCATTATTGGCTTGTATGGTTTGTGAGTAATACTATGAGAGTGATCTTCTCTCGTCAGAAAGAGAGGGGAGGTGAAAATGTGAACTGTGTTATTATAATGAGGAGTTTATTGGGGGAAGTGAACATAATGTAAATATTGTGATTTCGAATAAGGAAGAGGAGGAAAATGAATTATTTTAAGAGATTACAACTATTAGAGAGTGGAGAGAAGTTATATTCGCTATATTAAAGAGGGTAAATATGAAAACAACACTCTTTTTGGGGGTTCCAAAGGTTTGAATAAAATTTAAAAATAGCTTGGCACTAAATATTTATTCAAAATAAAACTATTTAAATATTATCAACGTTTTTGAAGTCTACAAATATTTTTTTTATAAAATTTTAAGAAAATCTAATTTTTATATCCAGTTTTATGCGAAATCATAAATTTCATATTCATCTCAAGTTTTTGGCAATGAGAGATATATTTAGCTACAGTAAGTTGTAAAGAATCGCTGACTTATTTCGCAAGTTATGACAGATAAAACTATTGAAAATTGTGACCCTTTGTGGGTGAGGTACCAGAAGGGGTTCGCAGATATATATCATCTTTACAACAGATCTTGTGTTAGCAAAAATGTTTGTGTGTATGAAATTTGAAAAGAGTTGGGTGCTTATTTCGCCATCTTCTGAGCATTTTGTTTTTAAATTTGAACCATTTATGGGGGAGGTACCAGGAGGAATGGTCCGATCTCTACCATCTTTTTAACAGATCTTGTGCTAATGGAAATATTGAGATGTACCAAGTCTGAATGGAATTAGATGTTAATTTTGTGTTTTATGAGCTTTACGGATATTCAAAAATTTGACCCTTTGTGGGGGAAATACCAGAAGGAGTGGACCGATATCTGCCTTCTTCAGATGAGATCTTGTGTCAGTAGAAATAATGGAATGTGTGAAATATGAAGAGAATCGGATGCTTATTTCGGATTTTATAATCGTTTTGGTAATTCAAAATGTTGACCCTTTGTGAGGGAAGTTCCAGAAGGAATGGTCCAATCTCTACCATCTGTTCAACAGATCTTGTGTTGATTGAAATATTGGAATTTGCCAAGTCTGAATGGAATCGGGTGTTAATTTCGTGTTTTATGAGCTTCGCGGGTATTCAAAATATTGACCCTTTGTGTGGGAGGTACTACAAGGAGTAGACCCATATCTGACATCTTTATAACAAATCTTGTGTTGATGGAAATAT